TCGGAAGAAATTTGCATAATAGACATCTTCTAACAGAGCAATTTAATAGTCTCTAACTAATAATCAAAATTTCATTTGCTAAAATTAGTGTTAATTTCTATAAATTTATTTAAAAAATCAATAATTATTGTTTTGCTGCAAAAGGTGTCAGTAACTTAAAAATACATAAATAATATCTTAAATAATAAATTTAATTTAGAGTCCTTAATTATATCAAATCTTATTTATTTACTTTTTTATGTTTATATAAATTATAATTTTTTATTAAAAAGGCACCTTTCAATCTCAATTTCTTTTATAAATAAAACCTTACCTTAGGAAATATAAAATTAGCAGATTTTAAATTATTTTTGCTTTGATTATTTTCTTTCGTTTCAGTCTTAATCATAAAGATAATTTTTAATTTTATGTCATGACTTGTAATAACATATATTAATATGATATGCTATTATCATAGTACGGTACAATCGCTATAAATGACTTGCTTTACACAGCAAATTTTAGTCATGTCAGTGGAGAGAGCTGTCAACTCAAGCTTGGAGGCCAGTACGTAGTTGACACCAAGTCTTCGTCATTTTAGTCTTTTTTTTTTTTTTTCCTTTTTTTTTTAGCTTAAAGTGTTTAGACAATTTTGACTACTTGATTATGCAGAGGCAATTTATATAATGACACCTTCTAATAGAGCAATCTAATAGTCTCTAACTAATAACCAAAATTTCATTTGCTAAAATTACTGTTAATTTCGACAAATTTATTTGAGAAATCAATAATTGTTCTCTTGCTATAAAAGGTGTCAGGAACTTAAAAATACATAAAAAAAAATTATAAGTAATGAATTTGATCTTTACATATATTAGATAGATATCACTTTAGCGTACAGTTAGATCTCCAAAAAATGTAGTACATTGCTAATAATATAATGTCACATACTATATAAGTTAATGACAAATTCTTACATTTTCAACTATATTTTCAAAAATATATTTGAAAATAGAATTAAACCATAATAGCGAAATATATTTTCAAAAACTGAAATGATATTAAGAGATGCATGAGAGAATAGAGACACATGCTATATAAGTTAATGACAAATTGTTATGTCCAGTAAAGGGGAATAAAAGAAAAGTTCAAAACTAACAATTCAAAAGCTTGACTACATACACATTAATTGCCATTAATATCATTTTCTTTTAATGATCCACTTGTATTATATATGTACTCCTTTGTCTTGTGAGTTATTTCCGACATCCAATTAATCTTTAAAATAATTGTGTACATGCACATTGAAGTAGGATTTTTTTTATATATTTGGATGGCATAATTCGATTTCAAACCTTCGCCATCCACACAAGATGAAGAATTTTATGTTTCTCTTCTTTATTTTTTTTTATATTTTAATTTTTTTAAAATTTTCTCAAATCAAACAGAGTGATAATAATATGAAAAAGCTCATATGTAGCTGCAATCAAGCACCGGTAGCATTAATGGCAGCTTTTCCACTTGCACATTTGCTTGGATGGCAACATGATGGATTGTTCTTACAGTACATTCGAGATATACTCGGTCAATGTCCTTAGCCTCATATGTACTTCCAATCAAGCATAGGTGGTATTGTTAGTAGCTTTTCCATTTAAACATTTACTTCGATGGCAATATGATGAATTATTCTTATTCATATCCAACAATAATTTTTTTTGGCCGTTAGATTACCATTTAGTCCCGATGAGGTGCGATTGTTACTTAAAATTTGACTAGTCACTTGTTTGGATGTCGTCCTTCAATGCAGTTAAAAAATTTTAATTAAACCCTTAAGGGTTCATTGAAAAAACTCTTTTTTCATCACAGATTTCTTTCAATTCTACCCCTTTTTCTACTTTTGTTTTGTTTTTATTTTCACTTTGTTTCTTTTTTAATTATTTAATTATTTAAGTAATCAAATTTTTTATTTTTTATTTCTTAATTTATTTTTATTTTTTTACTTAAATTTTTTCAAATTGTTTATTCTTGTTAACTCTTTCATTATTTATTTTTAATTTAAAGGGTTTTTAATTATTTAATCATTTAATATAATAAATAAACTTATATAATTATATAATAAATAAGTAATTACTCATATTTTTATCCCACGGTATTTAGTTTTTCGTTTTTCATTTTTCATTTTGATTTTTTTATTCAAAAACTTTCAAATAAATTTTAGTATTTATTTTATTAACAAAACTATTATTTAATAAACAATAATTTAGTAATTTTTAATTATTTTTTAATTTTGCTAATATATCAAATATATATTATAAATTTTATTATATATAAGTTTTAATTTAATACCTTAAAAGTTATTTTCTTTTTTCACTACATTTTATCTCATCCCTACAATTGTATCCGTGTCTAAATAAATATTTCATTACTAATTTTAATTTCATCGTTACAATACTCATATAATATATTCAAGAGTTATACAATTACCTTGACAAATAAACTCCTAAGCCTCCCTGGTGAATTGACTTATCTCAAATATTGGTAAACTTTGACTTTTATAGTTCAACTGAATTAGCCCAACTCCCAACAAATCTTTACTGACAGAACCAAAAAGATGTTATAAGAATAAAAGAAATATTTAAACACAAGATGTACAATCAATTGTTCCAAAATTGTAACAAAGAACTTACAAACTTTGAAAAAAAGTTATTTCAATGGGTAGACAATTGTTTAACTATCCAAGACATTGAAGATTTTATAAACAAAGAATAGCATGCTGAAACTATAAGAAAATCCTTTGTTTTAGTCCAATAATGTATAATCAAGTGTGATGTTTTCATATATACTTTCTAGACTCCTTCAAAGACTCCAAGATAAGATGATGTCACAACAAGCTTTGCTTTTGTTAACATTAACTTTAGCATTAACTTTATGTCTACTTTAAGTTATTTTTGAGTCAAGTTTATTTTTTTAAAGTTATTTAATAAAGTAAAAAGAATCTTATTTTTACTTTATTAAAGTTATTTTAAGTCTAGTCGATTACTTTATGTTTAATCATAGACCCAATATCATTATTATAGGTCTTATTTGATTACTATTTATTTACTTTTTCATTGTATAAATTTATAACTCCTTCTTCGAGAAAGCAGAGCAAAACAAAGTCACCCAACTTCTCTAAGAAGTTTCCCTTTGTAAAAAATCCTCTCTTATAAAATATTTTTGACTAAAAACTTTTTTTTTTTTAGTGATTCCTTTATTCTTATTCAGTTGTTAAGTTTAGAATCAAAAAAGTTTTTTATATTATAATTTGTAGTAATACAAGTTAAGTATACTCTACAATTATTATAATATTGTGGATCCTCTACATAAAAAAATCTTGAAAAGTTGTCAATAAATCATTGATTCACTTAAGATTAAAAAAATTATTGTACCAAAATTTTATTAAAATAAACTATCATAATGAAATGTATATCTCCATAAAAATCAAGCTATCAATTCTACGTTAGATTAAAAAAATACCAAATATTAAATACCGATTAAAATATCTTAATATATATAAATTATGGATTACTCTTATTTAGTATTACCTTGATGCAATTATCGAGATAAAATGATGACACATCAAATTTTACTTTTATCAATATTAACTTTAACATCAACTTTATATTTATTTTAAATTATTTTCAAATTAAATTTACTTTCCTAAAAGTTAGTTTAATAAAATTAAAGAATTATCTTTATTTTATTAAAATTACTTTAAATCTAATCAATTATTTTATATTTAATTATGAATCCAACGTCATTATTATAACTCCTATTTAATTACTATTTATTTGCTTTTTTTTTGTAATAATCTTGTCGGTGGAGAGAGCTGTCAACTCAAGCTTGGTGACGAGTACCTAGTTGACGCCGAGTCTTCCTCATTTTAGTCTTTTTTTTTTTCTCTTTTTTTTTTTAGCTTAAAGTGTTTAGACAATTTGGACGACTTGATTACGCGGAAGAAATTTTTGCAGCAATTTAATGGTCTCTAACTAATAACCAAAAATTCATTTGCTAAAAATTAGTGTTGATTTCTACAAATTTATTTGAGAAATCAATAATTGTTGTTTTGCTACAAAAGGTGTCAGTAACTTAAAAATACATAAATAATATTATAAATAATAAATTTAATTTAGAATCCTTATTCATATCAAATCTTATTTATTTATTTTTTTATGTTTATATAAATTATAATTTTTTATTAAGAAGGCACCTTTCAATCTCAACTTCTTTTATAAATAAAATCCTCCCTCATGAAATATAAAATTATGAATTTTAAATTATTTTTTTTATTATTTTCTTTTGTTTCAGTCCCAATCATAAAGATAATTCTTGATTTTATATCGTGACTTGTAATAACATAAATTAATGTGCTATGCTATTACAATCGCTATGAATGACGTGTTTCACATTGCAAATTTTAGTCATGTCAGTGGAAAGAGCTGTCAACTCAAGTTGACTCCAAGTCTTCGTCATTTTAGTCTTTTTTTTTTTTTTTCCTTTTGTTTTTTTTTTTTTTTTGTTGGCTTAAAGTGTTTAGACAATTTTGACTGCGTTTCATAGTCTCTAACTAATAACCAAAATTTCATTTGCTAAAATTACTGTTAATTTCTACATATTTATTTGAGAAATCAATAATTGTTCTTTTGCTACAAAGGGTGTCAGTAACTTAAAAAATACATAAAAAAATTATAAGTAATGAATTTGATCTTTACACATATTAGGTAGATATCACATTAGAGTACAGTTAGCAATAACAAGGTTTATACACACACACCAACCAGTGCAATCATAAAAAAATGTCAACACTAAATCAGAAAAGCAAATGTTCAACTTATGATTGAAACTATTGTGCGTATATATATAACTAAATATTTTTGAATTTTTAAGCGTGCATATTACCATACTTTTCATGTGAATGTTAAACAACTGCATCATTCATGTACAACAGAATATCATTTATTTTCTTGAATCCTGTCCCATATCAGTAAGATTTGTTAAACAAATGCAGGTCTATAAGGCAATAATAATAAGGCACTTTGTTTTTTGTAAGTGCTACATGTACTAAATATACAAGATGTTTCATGGCACTAAGACAAAAATTCAAATGAAAAGATTAAGTGTAGTGAAGCAGGACGCAAGCCATACCACATACAAGGCCTGACTTCCTTTTACAAACCCTCGTGTGCCATCAATTGGATCCAGTATCTGCATCAAGTTTGTTGACTTAACCATGTCGATAAAGTATGCATCCAAGCATGATACGGACAAGCTTATTTAGATTGTAGGCATACCCAATAAGTGGCTGGTTTTGTTCCAAAACCAAAATCATTCTCGCCCCCTCGGTCAATTGCTTCCAGCACATCAGCATGTGACAGTGATTCCTCATCAAAGCTCGTTTTATCAGATATTGCATTTACTACAGGATCAACCAGATTGTTCGAACATAAAAAACCAGAGTCCTCTTCCGCCACCAATGGAATTGAAGGGAACAATTTACTCAACTCTATCACCGAAAGTATAGAAGAAACACAAGTGAAGTTTCATTATCTCGTCTGTTTAAACTTTCTTACTTGTTAACCAAGAATTAAGCACCCCAGGCTTAAGCAACATTTCATTTGTCAGTACATGTCTTGCTACAGAATAAATCATATATCTTTCATTGGGAATGTACAATGAAGTTTAAAGTCACAACTCAGAATTGAGAAAGCTCAAAATTAACTATATACCAAAATCTACTTCAAAATTCAAACTTTTTGTCCAATCCTAGTAATATGCAATAAAGCAAACAAAAATTATTATACATATTATGCATTAATGAAAGTACCTAAACAAACAAGAGCCTGACTCCAAAATCAGCCACTGTGACCGGAGTTTGGTCATTCTTTTCGATAATTCGTCCTTCATCAGAGAACAGAGACCTTTGCACCTGTAATTTGAAAATGAGGAAATAAAAAGTCTTAAGACATAAAATCGTAAAAGTTAAGAAAAATACGTTTGAAATTAATGCAAGCAATTGAATCAAGCAATGACTAAAGAATAAGAGGTGGGATTCAAATCTTTGAACGAATTAACTTACGTCAACGCAAAGACGACAAGCTCTCACGACCACCTCCGCCGCCGCTTCAAGTTCTTTGTGGTACTTGGCTTTCTCATTTGGAAAAGGAAGACTCGACCTGAATTTTTTTGCCAAATAGAGAAAAATAAATATTTGTAGTAAATAAAACAAATGAAATTGTATCACATTTTTTTATGATTGCACTGGTTGGTGTGTGTGTATAAACCTTGTTATTGCTAACAGTTAGTTCAAAACTAACAATTCAAAAGCTTGACTACATAAACCTTAATTGCCATTAATATCATTTTCTTTTAATGATCCACTTGTATTATATATGTACTCCATTGTTTTGTGAGTTATTTCTGACATCCAATTAATCTTTAAAATAATTATGTACATGCACATTGAAATACGATTATATATATATATATATATATATATTTAGATGGCATAATTCGATTTCAAACCTTTGCCGTCCACATAAGATGAAGAATTTTTTTCTTTTCTTTATTTTTTTGATATTTTGATTTTTTAAAATTTTTTCAAAATCAACAGAATGATAATAATATGAGAAAGCACATATGTAGTTGCAATCAAGCACCGGTAGCATTAATATTAGCTGTTCCACTTGCACATTTGCTTGGATGGCAACATGATGGCTTGTTCTTACAGTACATTCGAGATTTACTCGGTCAATGTCCTTAGCCTCATATGTACTTCAAATCAAGCGTAGGTGGTGTTATTAGTAGCTTTTTCATTCAAACATTTACTTCGATGGCAATATGATGAATTATTCTTATTCATATCCAACAATAATTGTTTTTTGGCCGATAGATTACCATTTAGTCCCGATGAGGTGCGATTGTTACTTAAAATTTGACTAGTCACTTGTTTGGACGTCGTCCTTCAATGCAGTTAAAAAATTTTAATTAAACCCTTAAGGGTTCATTGAAAAAACTCTTTTTTCATCACAGGTTTCTTTCAATTTTACCCCTTATTCTACTTTTGTTTTGTTTTTATTTTCACTTTGTTTCTTTTTAATTATTTAATTATTTAAGTAATCAAATTTTTTATTTTTATTTTTTTACTTAAATTTTTTCAAATTGTTTATTCTTGTTAACTCTTTCATTGTTTATTTTTAATTTAAAGGTTTTTTAATTATTTAATCATTTAATATAATAAATAAACTTATATAATTATATAATAAATAAGTAACTACTCATATTTATATCCCACGGTATTTAGTTTTTCGTTTTTCATTTTGATTTTTTTATTCAAAAACTTTCAAATAAATTTTAGTATTTATTTTATTAACAAAAATATTATTTAATAAACAATAATTTAGTAATTTTAATTATTTTTTAAATTTTACTAATATATCAAATATATATTATAAATTTTATCATATATAAGTTTTAATTTAATATCTTAAAAGTTATTTTCTCTTTTCACTACATTTTATCTCATCCCTACAATTATATCTGTATCTAAAATTTCATCACTAATTTTAATTTCATTGTTACAATACTGAATCTCATTCCTATAGTAATTAACTTAACCACAATCATTGTTTTCATTCTTATCGAGCCAGTCTTGTTGTCTATTTAAATATATCTTTAATAAGTTTTTTTAATATGATTAGAGTATTTCAAAATTCCCTTTTTTGAAAGATTTTAAGTACCTATTTTGCGACGACATCTATATAATACTTAAGTACCTATTTTATGTCTTTTGTAGAAAACGACTTAGGTAAAGTTTTTAGGTGAAATTCATAAAATTTTTTACTAAAAATGATTAAATAAAAATTAAAATCAAAAATCAAAATTGATAAATTAAAATATTTCGTTACATAGATCAAATGTGTAAATTTTGAAAATTTTTAATAAATTTTGATACATATTTTAGATATATATTTTTAGTCAAAATGTTGATAAATTTTTATCATTAAATAAATATGGAATAAATTTAAATTATAAATAATTTTTAATAATTTTTTTTACATGTTACTGATTTCATATTAAACTCTATCAATTTATCTATTTTGATTTTTTATTAAATCATTTTTTAAAAAAAATTTATAAATTTTACCTAAAAAATTTATATAGATTTTGTCCCTTTTTATAACCTCTTTTTGGGTATATGTTTACCATGACCAAATGTCTCAAATAATTAACATAGTTAACAAGTAGTTGATGGGAAATGTAGGTGGGAATTGGCGATATAAATTTGAAGGTAATTCAATTTCGAAATTTAATTTAATTAATCCATATTCAATAAATTTTGGTGTAAATGTAAATTTTTTTATTCTTAAGCTATTGTCTTTTTTTGAAAAAAAAAATTTAATTCAGATGGAGTAACTTTGTCTAGAATTTTTTTCTTGCAGAGGGGTTCATATATTGAAGTATGACGTAAGTTGCAAGGATAAAGACTTTTATGATGAAGAAGACCGCCTCAATTAGGTGCTAAACTATCCTGTAAAAGACTTTTCTACAACAATTTAATGTACATTTTTCCACAACTAGAAAAACAAATTGCCAGTAGGGATATCAATTAGTAATGTATGTAGTAGATAGAACATTCCTTATTCTCATTTTAAGGTTTTTATATTATATTTATTTCATATTTTTATTTAATAAATATTTTAAATTTATTTTTATTGTTATAAGTATAGGATGGATATCAATAAATAAAATATATAATGAAAAAAATATTACTCATCTTTATTTTTTATTTTTTATATTATATCCATTCTTATAACTATATTCAATGAATTTTTTAAATTCATCCCCATCTATATTTAATGGTATATATAATGTTCCTTTGTCCTCTTTGTCCCAAGGTTCTACTTTCATTATTACTGTTGGTCGCCTTCTCGAGTTCTTCAGCTGCAAATGCACCCTTCACGTTGGAAAAGGTGTTCTTGCAACAAATTGCTACCGTTTTGCCGAAAGTATTTTTCTCTTAGTTTGGCAATCTGTCTTTGTCTGAGCATCAAATACATCAATGTTATGCCAAGAGGAGGGCAAATAAGCAAATGCCAAGGATTTAGGGTTTAGGATTTAGGTCAAATATACGACAGAATTTATCTGGCTGACCTACAGGATTACAATTCAAAAGCTTCGGGCTTTGAAACATATCGATTCCTGTAAATAAAAGGAGGCCCGAGACTCAAATACATGCACACGTAAGAAATATCATAAAAAAGGATTTGAGGATAGGTTTGTGTTGTTTTAATTTTCATCATTTAACAAATCCACGACATAAGTTTCTAGAGGGAGATTATGCGAAATAGCTGATCACGAGATTCGGTGATGACAGTGGGGGGTCTCGAGTTGCAGGAGAGATGGGGTTGATGGAGAGGCTGACCGAATGGTGGGGAAGATGGGTTCTTTGGTGGGGTCCCTTTTTCGTTGAAGGAGCAATTTTGGGTGTTTTCTATTGGTGGTTTCGGTGGTAGGCACAGGTGGCTTTCGAGGGTTGGTTGAAGGTGATGAAGGCGAGAGATTGGGGGGGTTCTCGGCAGTCGTGGATGATTGGGTTTTTTTATGGTGAAGTGCGGTTACGGTGGTGGTTGTAGTTGTGGGGTTAGAGTCTTAGTGCTCGGCGATGTTGTCTTGGTAATGGCAGAGTGTTTCTGTTCAAGAAGAAAAAAATACTAGAAACCAGTAGTCAGGGTTAATGGGTTGTCTGGCCTAAAATTGATCAGGACAGATAAGGGCTCATAGCTTTTAAGTCAGGATTCTCTTCGAAGTTCAAACGGTCTTTCGGATGTTGAAGTTGGGCTCAGCCTTCTCAAATTCTGAACTAGACTTGAGTTCGCATGGCAGATAATGCGTGTTCCTTTTTTCTTTTTTTTGCTTTGTTCATCCATATGCTTTTGAATTTGCATGCACCAAACCTTGAAAAATACAAACGCAATTCATAGTTGGGCTTTGAAAAATTCAATTAAGTATGCAAGGATAAAGAGCTAATTAAGCACTATTTCGACTCAAAAACATGAGTACATATGTCAATTGTTAAGTTAATTATACGCCTATTACAACATGTAAGAATTACATCTATATTTATCTACACCTTTACCACTATTACTAGAGTTAGAGAGATAATGCCAAATGGGGTGACATTAACAACGACATCAAGGAGGAAACCATCATGTAGGGGGAAAGAGAGAGAGAGAGAGAGAGAGAAGGAAGAGAGAGAGAAAAGCTATTACTGCTAAGATATATGTTGGTCTTAGAGCTCAAAGAAATTACAATTTGCCCAAGCATTTAACAATAAGGTCCTCAAAGCTCTTTGTGCCAAAGCTGGTTGGGTCGTTGAAGAAGATGGCATCATTTATTGAAAGGTATCTAATTAATTTGATTCTTATGCTTCAATTCTTATGTATGATTTATTAACCGATCATATTTGCTTTAAAAGGATTGATATTTGTTCACACTTTGCTGAAATTTAAATTTGGTGTTCTTTTTTCTCTTTTCCAAAGTTCAAGTTAGGATTTTTTTTTTGCTATGATTTATTGACAGATTTGTCCTTGTATGATGTATGATTTTTGGTTTTTTTTTTCTTTTTAGTTTTAGAAGCATTAAACATCATTTAAATCAAATGAAATTAAGTTTTGCTAATGGATCTCTGCAGATGACCACAACTTCAAAGGGAATCATGATTTTTTATTTTTGCAAGTGGATACAATTTTTTTCGAAATGATTGCTTTCAGGTAAAGTACTCTATTTTTGGATTATTTATTATCAACATTTATAAATAATGGTTTAATAATAATCATTTTGATAGACATGCCCATCAAGTAGCTTTTGAGAACTTAGATTTTGATAGTCATCAAGATAATGTGATAATACTTGGTTAACTAATTTTGTGTAAGAAAAATTATACTAGTTTTCATTCAAATAAAAAAAAAGGTTTATTTCAATTTAACTTTTGATTGTTCATATATAACTGATTTGAAATGGGAATATTAATTATTTAATCAAAGATTATATGTTTTTATAACAATATGATTGAAAATTTTAGGCTTTTGGTTTCATTAGATATTATATACACTATTTTTGGTTTCATTAGATATTATATACACTATTCATATCCTAACTGCATATAATTTATAAATAAATAGTAGAAGAATAGAATAGTGATGTGTTTAATTAATCTCAATTCTGATTTGAAGTTTTTTTAATTAATATTAATATATATAGTATATATATTGTGCTTGAATTAAACAGATTTGTGTCAATTTAGCCTTATGCCACATATAGGTCTGATCATTACTCTCTTTAGTAATCTAAACCATATGAATTAATTTGTCTATTTTTTTCAACTTTTCCATTAATAAATCTTTTGTTTTCTTTCAACATTATGCTATCAAGAAAAAGGTTATTGATGGTAGCTGAAGCCTTTAATTCTGAACCACCTAATTAAATTGTATATGTCTACATTACCAAACATCCAATTGTTGAATTTTTTTGATCTTATTTCATTATACTTCACTACTTTTGCATCAGTCATCATTTTACTATCTAATGCCATGCAATATTCTTCTCAGTTATTGTACTAATAATATTTGCTTTAGTAGTGTAGCTTTCTTCGAAGAATCATCTGCCCTTAGTCAATGAAAAGGAAATTCAAGATGCTAAAGTAATTAAAGATCTATTTTCACTAATGTTGTATTAGTCCAAAAGCAATTATCTGTGTGGTTGTTGTGTTTTTTTTTTTTTTTCAGTGGATGCCTTTGGAAGAATTCATCAATGAACCATTTTACCAAGAAGACCACATGTAAAAAAAGATGATTGAAATTTGCATCACAATACATGAAGGTCACTACCATGGGTTCATTGCTTAACAGTTGATATTAAACTTGATGGAATACTTCCTTTTATTACAAAAGGGTCAAAGCAAAATTTATGAGATTGTTGAAATTAAAAAACACATAAAAGATATAGCTGAAATTGTATCAAATTTACTTATCTGTAATAAAGAACCAAAACATATGTGTTCATGTGCAAAAAGAACATAATAATGAAAATAATTAAAGGGTGAACTGTTTTCAATATTATGTTTTTCACTTTTTTTTTTTAATCAACCAGTGCTTATTACTTTTTGATTTTATGTCTGCTTTGGTTCAAGTGTGAAGAAATTAATGCTATCATGAATGATTTTGCTGAACTTCGATCACTTGCTCCAATTGGATTGTACCTTGGTGACATAAAATACATGGTGATCCAAGATGAACAAGGAGCTATTATTCACAGAAAGAAGGTAACGTTCTTTATTTGTTATTGGTATTTTTACTTTGTTTATAACATTGAAAAATCTTATGTGCACGTATAGACTTTTACATCACATTTAATGCAATGATATTGTTTCTTCTTTTTAGTACATGTTAATTTGCTTTTATCTTTGTTTTAATTTTATTAGTTGTTGTGTAACATAGTTGCATAAACTATTTTGATAGTTAGTATGTTAATGGTTCTTTTAGGATAAGATGTACCATTCATGACTTCCTTCCTAAGGACACGTGACTTTGTTTACTATATGATTTTACTTTATTTCACTTAAACATTGTTTCTATTATTAAAGGTTTCATTGTTGTTTGGATTCGAAGAGGTTGATTATCTAGTTCTAGAATCAAAGGCTTTGTTCATTAAAAATGCAAGAAAGGAGATTAGAGATCAGGTTTGCCTTTTTTTATT